CCTGACCCTGTTTCTTAACCTGGCACAAGAGGAAGAAGAGAGAGAGAGTATGAATGGAGACTGAGGGAGGAAAGGGAATCAAGAACAAAGAGGAGAAAAGGGACGGTAAGAAGGGGAAATAAAGAAGGTAAGGAATGGATTTAAATCACTGGATATATCATCAGTGAGGTGCTACACTGTGGGAACAAAACCTGTGTTACCATGACAGGTTCCATCGTGACAAATGTGGGAGAGAAGAATGTAAACAAGGAGAGAAGGGAGACAATGGGAGGTGATAGAAGGTGAGAATGAAAGAAGAAAAGAGAGAGGGAAATGAAAGAAAAAGAAAGAAGAAAAGGGAAAGGGAAACGAAGAAGTGGAAGGAAAAAGGGAGGGGGAAGCAAGGAACGGAGGGAGAGGGAGGGTGAGGGAGGGGGGGGAAGCAAGGAACGGAGGGAGAGGGAGGGTGAGGGAGGGAGGGGGAAGCAAGGAACGGAGGGAGAGGGAGGGTAAAGGGGGAGGAATAATGGAGAATAATTAAAGGAGTGTGGGTGTGGTGAAGGTTGGATAATGGTGTGTGATGGTCTTGCTAAAAGTGCTGGTGTCTCAGACATTCCTGTGACTGTATAATGATCGTCTAGCTGGTCACTCCACGACCTGTCTAGCTGGTCACTCCACGACCTGTCTAGTTGGTCACTCCACGACCTGTCTAGCTGGTCACCCCACGACCTGTATAGCTGGTCACCCCACGACCTGTGTAGCTGGTCACTCCACGACCTGTCTAGCTGGTCACTCCACGACCTGTCTAGCTGGTCACTCCACGACCTGTCTAGCTGGTCACCCCACGACCTGTATAGCTGGTCACCCCACGACCTGTGTAGCTGGTCACCCTACGACCTGTGCAGCTGGTCACTCCACGACCTGTCTAGCTGGTCACTCCACGGCCTGTCTAGCTGGTCACTCCACGACCTGTCTAGCTGGTCACTCCACGACCTGTCTAGCTGGTCACTCCACGACCTGTCTAGCTGGTCACTCCACGACCTGTCTAGCTGGTCACTCTACGACCTGTCTAGCTGGTCACTCCACGACCTGTCTAGCTGGTCACCCCACAACCTGCATAGCTGGTCACCCCACGACCTGTGTAGCTGGTCACTCCACGACCTATCTAGCTGGTCACTCCACGACCTGTCTAGCTGGTCACTCCACGACCTATCTAGCTGGTGACTCCACGATCTGTCTAGCTGGTCACCCCACGACCTGTCTAGTTGGTCACTCCACGACTTGTATAGCTGGTCACTCCACGACCTGTCCGGCTGGTCACCCCACGACCTGTCTAGCTGGTCACTCCACGACCTGTCTGGCTGGTCACTCCACGACCTGTCTAGCTGGTCACTCCACGACCTGTCTAGCTGGTCACTCCACGACCTGTCTAGCTGGTCACTCTACGACCTGTCTAGCTGGTCACTCCACGACCTGTCTAGCTGGTCACCCCACGACCTATATAGCTGGTCACCCCACGACCTGTGTAGCTGGTCACCCCACGACCTGTGCAGCTGGTCACTCCACGACCTATCTAGCTGGTCACTCTACGACCTGTCTAGCTGGTCATTCCACGACCTATCTAGCTGGTCACTCCACGACCTGTCTAGCTGGTCACTCCACGACCTATCTAGCTGGTTTACTCCACGATCTGTCTAGCTGGTCACCCCACGACCTGTCTAGTTGGTCACTCCACGACTTGTATAGCTGGTCACTCCACGACCTGTCCGGCTGGTCACCCCACGACCTGTCTAGCTGGTCACTCCACGACCTGTCTGGCTGGTCACCCCACGACCTATCTAGCTGGTCACTCCACGACCTGTCTAGCTGGTCACTCCACGACCTGTCTAGCTGGTCATCCCACGACCTGTCTATCTGGTCACCCCACGACCTGTCTAGTTGTAACCCCACGACCTGTCTAGCTGGTCACCCCACGACCTGTTTAGCTGGTCACCCTGCTACCTGTCTAGCTGGTAACCCCACGACCTGTCTAGTTGGTAACCCCACGACCTGTCTAGCTGGTAACCCCACGACCTGTCTAGTTGGTAACCCCACGACCTATCTAGCTGGTCACCCCACAACTTGTCTAGCTGGTCACCCCACGACCTGTCTATCTGGTCACCCCACGACCTGTCTAGCTGGTAACCCCACGACCTGTCTAGTTGGTAACCCCACGATCTGTCTAGTTGGTAACCCCACGACCTGTCTAGCTTTTCACACACGACCTTACCAACCTTACCTTTGATTGGTTTCGAGAGCTTTCATATCCCCAGGCTTGTCTCTTCCTTGCTTGATCAACCAGGTTGTTGTTGCTGGCTACTCTAGCCCAGGCATGCCATCACAGCCTGATTGTTCCGGCACTTAGATCAGGTACTTGTCTAGTTTCCTCTTGAAGACTTGTACACTTGTTCCAAGAGTGTTTCTGATGTCGTTTGCTAGAGTGGCGAATAGTCTGGGACCACGGATGTTGATGCAATGTTCT